CAAATTGATTAAGGCGATTAACCATATGGATCAGACTCATAGTAAAATCCCATAAATATGATGGAAACTCTCTTTGTCGATGGAATCATGGAAACTCTCAACTAATTGGAAGTCCCTTACGCTGGATAAATATGATGGAAGTACATACTTGAATGAGCACATTATTGTTTATGTTACTTAGGTTAACCTATACACTACCGAAGACACATACATGTCTAGAGTCTTCCCCACCACTTTGAAGGGAGCATATTTGAATTGGTTTACTCGTTTATCTCTATAGAAAACAACGTTTTGTTTTGGGACATAGTTTGCAACAAGTCGGCCTCACCATCTCACTTATTTTAATATAGCTCTACACCACATGGTCACGGCACTAAGGCCGAGCATGACTCTTTGCGGCGGGTGATGCGGGTGATCTATGCATGATATCGACTATTAATTTGGACGAGTTAAGACAATGTACTACGAAATTCATGTTGTTGAAGGAATTGGAGATGTTTAAGAACAAAATGCAAACTGAAACTATGTCATGCCGTTGAAGGAATTGGAGATGTTTAAGAACAAAACGCAAGCTGAGACTATGTCAATCGAAATAAAGTCATCAAAGCGAGAACTTATGCACAAGAGTGGGTCAAACAAAGAAAGTCAAAGTTTACAAAAGTTAGTCATCTTAGACATTTCGATGTTAGAAGATTGCATGATGAAATACATAGGTCTAATGACAAGGGAGATGGTCGAAAAGAATGCAATCGAAATAAAATAAATAAGAAAGAATCAGTTCTACATGAGTAAAGAAACACGTATCCTAACCCTTTGAAAAGAGTTATAAATCTAATGGCTAATTCTTTTTCTTTTAATTATTCTTCTTGTTTTTTTTCAAAGAGTTCATAATGGCGGTACCTTTTTCCATTTTTAGAAACTAAAATAAGTATTTGGTTTTTTCCATAATTAGATTAACGTATCAATTATACAAAGATGAAGTATTTTTCAAACCATGTTTTTGTCCATTTGGTTTAGGAGATTAGAGAAAAGAATAAAATGAAAAAGAAAATCAGTTATTAGATCAAATTTATAATCGTTAATGATAAAATATGTTGTTCGAATAATTTTCTTAAAACGAATTGAAAATTTAAAATATTAATTGGATCATTTAAAATTAAAAGAGAGTTCATTATACTGACTTATGTTAGTTAGGATGAGATACATTTATATTTATTTTATTTTGACACACATTATAAAATCAAAATAATTCTAGAATAAATTTTTGTATTTTAAAAATAAAACAATAATAAAAAAGAATAATATTAAATAAATATAAAAAATTTGGTGTATGGAACTATCATTTATCCTGCTTTTTTTCTATTAGCTTAAACAGTAATATGATGTAAGTGGAAAATGAAGTAATGAGCACGGTACCTGAAGAGCGAGACCTGAACAAGGTTTTGGGGCCACCACATGGTAGCGGGCTCGACGAGGTAGCGTCGGAATATCCCGGCCCAACCGAAACCCAAAACCTGCGACGTTATAACCACCAATAACGCCGCAAAAACTGTTAACTCCTTACGGTAGAACATTTTAACAGCGCTAACGAAATGAATGGCGTAGACGCTAGCGGCTCCCGAACTTGCGAAGATAGTGATAAGCACGTGCTCCTTCACGTTGAACTTCCCTGGGTTCAGCGTAAACTCCCATTTCGTCCCCTTCAAGAACACGCGCTTTGTCACCTCCGCCGCCATCAGGTGTCCCGCCGGCACCACCGCTATCTGCGCCGATATCGCCGTCACAGTCAGCGGTTCTCTCCGGAACCCGAAAAACTGGTTTAGGAAGGAGAGAAGCACGCACGCCAGGGTTCCCAAAATCCATGTCCGGAAAGTGAAGGAAGGTAGCGACGGGTCGTCGCTCACTGAAACCGTCAGCGCCACCTGCTCTACCGGAGAATTCTCGACGGCCGGCGAGTTCTCCGCCTGGGAGATGGCGTCGTTGTTCTGATGAGGCCTTTTAACTGAAAAGTGAGTCAAAGAAGCGATAACTAATCAATTGTTTGGATCTTTTAATTAAGAATGAACAAAAAGGTAGGTTTGGAGAATTAGAGAAAACGAACTTAGAGGAGCATGAATTTCAGGATTATGAGCCATGTTGCTGGAAAGTGTTTCTGATTCGTTTAAGCTAAATCGCATGTTACCTGATTTACATTCCCGTCTCCACTTTTTGTTTTTATAATAATAAAAATAAAATAGAATTAAAAAGCAATTATTAAAATGAAAAATATTATTAAAGTAAAATAATGAAAGAATTAATGTAAGATTTCAACATTATATATCGAACCAAAAAATTAATAATTGTGAAATGCATGAACCACATAAATTAATGTAGTTCAGCTGTCATTTTATCCCAGATAAACCCTCGTATTTGGTCCTGTTTTTGGGCAAGATTCATTGAACGAGAGAAGCTTTGTTTTTTTCCCATACAATAGGTAAGAATGAGATAATCATATCGAAAAAATAATTTTCAAAACTGGTTATTTATTTCTTTTCCAAAATTTGACTAAACAAAGAGAAGTAATGAGAAAAACAATTAATCCCTGAAAAACAAGTTACAAATGTCAACGAAAAGAATGAGCAGACGTGGAAGGTTTGTTCCCCACATCGACCAAAGTTCCCAAGTGGTGGGCCTTCGAATATCCCTATACGAAGAGTAAGGTATTAAGATAAATAATATAAAAATTATATGAATTTAAAACGCCCACAAAAACTTACAAGACATTATTACGATTTATAAAGACTATCTTTTAATAGATCTTAAGACATAATTAAAAGTCATTAAAATTAAAATTCAAATAAGTAAAATTGTTTTGTAAAGGTATCACAATGAAATTTATATCATCAAATCGAAATGTATAATGTCAAAAATATATTGCTTCTCAACCATCATTCCAGTGCATCCAAAAGTTTATTTCCTATTATCGTTAAAACATAACGAAACTACCCATTCATACTTTCTCTACGTACTCAACGCTTGCAGAAATATTTCTTCTATGAACCTCAATTGTGAGAAACCGCAACGGAAGAAAACTGTGAATGAAAGAGACGAAACTTTCAAATAAAATGCGAAGGGGTAAAACCATATTTTAAATTCATGGGGGTAGAGTTAGCATTATGGAAATGCAAGAAGCAAAAGCTCATTAAGAAGCTCTTAGAGATTAGTGTCTTTTAACTTATTCGTCCAAAATGTGAGAAAAATGTAAATATTTATACGTCACTTTATTTGGATGAGATCATTTAGAATGGTAAATTATTTATTTCAAGAATTTAAAATTCTGTATACTAAAATGACTTATTTGGATAAGTGGTTAGAAAAAAAAATTAAATATTTTACGAAACATTTCAAATGAATAAAACAAAACAATTTCAAATATTCTAAACAATGAAATTTGAAATTCTCCTCTTTTTCAATACATTAACAAACACGCAGGCAAGCAATTGCCACTGTTTTATAATTGGCTTATAGCAAAAGTCAAGATAAGTTAACTTAGATCAAAAGTCATGACGATTTGATCTAGGTAAAGGTTAGTCGAGACGAATCAAACCAAACTAAAGATAGAAACAAGTTGACCTAGGTTGAAGGTTGAAACAAGTAGGTCTGAGTCGAAGGTTAAAATAAGTTGGTCTGAGTCGAAGGTTAAGACAAATCGATTTATACCAAAAGTCGAGATAAGTGGACTGAAGCTAAAGGTCAAGCAGAGTCGACCAAGATCGAAGGTTGTGACTAGCTAGCTCGGGATCAACCTCCAAGGCGAAGGATGATATGAGTTGTCCCGAAATGAAAATCGAGTAGAGTCACACCAAACAAAAAGTTGACTCTAATCGATCTAGATCATTAAGGCGAATTAGCCTAGACTGGTCGAGATGAATTAACCTAGGATGAAAATCAAGAAGAGTCCATTTGACCTGAAAGGCAAGACGATTCAATTCTAACTTATGGTCAAAATGAGTTGACTCATATTAAAAGTAGAATTAAGACGACCTTGATTGAATGTTGAGATGAGTTCATATTAAAAACTAAGACAAGTTATCTTATATTGGAAGTTAAACTAAATCAACTCAAGCTAAGAGATAAAGTTGAATTATCTAAATATTTTTTAATTACTTTGTTCAAACAAACTATTTAAAAAAATAAGAAAATTTAATTGGAGAAGTAATTCAAAGTATTTCAATTTTTTTGAAGTTGTTGAAACTCCTCGTCCAAACACTTTTTAAGATAAAGAAATCAAACCTAAATATATTAACATTAATTTTGATAAACCTCTAATGAAATAATAGTACAACCTTAAGAATCGAATGTGAGTTGTTTTGAAAGTTGAGCAACTATAAATTCGATACAACTTTTTTACCACCTTATTATTCTTAATTGTTTGAAATGAATTTATTTCTACATGCACTTACTATGATATTGTTGTATAGACCGATTGAAACTTTTGAAAAATATAATAGGGAAATTTATTTTGGAGAAAAATAAAACAAAATTAAGTTCATCCCTCTCTTCATTTTTATTGATAATTTGGATAATATAATAGTTAAAGTATGCAATATCTGAATACTCCTTAACAAACCTTTAGATAGATAATGCATGATATTGCACCCTTACATGACAATTTTTCCTCTGAAAAATGTGATAAAAGAGAGTAATAATTTTCATCAATTTTCCATTATACATGAAATGAACAAGATAGGAAGTAGGCTAAGTGCAAGTACATTATGTTGTTAATATTACAGATAAACTACTCTCAGTGCTCAAAGAAAGTATACCGATACCCGTATGTTATTTAAGATGTCTAAAATGGAAACAAATTGATTTTGATAACAAATCTTTTGCATGTCAAAACATTATAGTTACTAATTCATATTTCTTTCCATTGGGGAACTATTTGTAAGGAAACCTTTAATACCTAAAGTTATCAGGCATTTAAAAAGAACATTTTCTAACTTAAAAATCTGAAATGACTAATTTTGTGAACTTCGCTATAAAGAGGCCACTGGTTCGTGATGTCAAAGGGTCAAATCGCCATGTCTTTGGGATGCATCCACCCTTGCAAGGCCAATTTCTGGCAGCATCTATCTCTGTCAGCTCTGTAGATTGAAATAAGAATGCAAAAACATAGAGAGGAACAAATAACTCAACTGCCACAACATGAAGCAAATACTGTGAATATATGATCCAAGGAGTAATATCACTACAGCAAAGTAAGCGTACGCTTACTCATCCCATTAAACAGGTTAGACTCTGTTTGACTAGTAAATTTGTTTTTTTGCATCCATTTCAAGTTTCATTAAAAATTACAAAAATGCCAGCATTTTTATTGCCCCCTTTGCTTGTATGATACAAAATAAAAACAAAATTTCATTGCCTCACATTTCTTGCACAAACTTTTAAAAACAATAAATACAGTATATAAATAATACTACATGCTTGTCATAAATAATATAAAAATGAATATAGAAAATATTTCTGATATCCAGAAACATCCTAACTTTTGCAAGTTAACTATGTCCACCGAAATAAGAAATATATCGCAAAAGATCAAGCAGACCAGTTGATAATTTTGTAAAACTATGACAACATTCAAGCAGAACTTTTTCCCACCACAAAAGAAGCAGATTGGGTGAAAGAGGGTTTAAAGGCTTCAGGATAGAGGCAATATGTTTACGCATCTAAGAATGGGGAATGTCTACAAGAGAAGCACACAACATTTGATAAGAAACAAGCATAGTACAAAAGCTAACCATATTACTGAAATGGATTTGATTAGATGAAAAAATGGATAACACGAAATAATAAACATGGACCAGTAGAAGTACTCGTAAAATACAGACAAAGTTTTCACCAACCCGAAATAATTTGAAGGGTGAAGAGCATACCTGCAGCTCTATTTTCCTTCAAGAATTGTTCCACCACATCTTCATTCTGAGCAACAGTTAAGCTAATCGACAAAGTATTTTGTCAGAGTAAAATTGGCAAATGATATGGAACATTTGTGCTGACTGAATCAGAAGAGCCGAAGAAGTTACAAAGTAATCAGGTTACCTGCAAGTGCTGTAGACAAGGGATCCTCCCACTTTTAGCAGTCTGAAACCATTGGTGAGAAGATTAAGCTGCAGCCAGACACAAAAGGTATGTTCGTTAAATTAAGGTGAAATCTAAGACTAAAGGCATTCATGCCTTGAATTATGCCAAAAAAGGCAATAGAAACAATCTACAATATCTTCTTTGCATACTTTTGGGTTAAATATGGCAAAAAATTTTAACTTTGTGCACAAGAAACTGAAATCTTACTAGTTTATTATCACATTACTAAAAATGAAACATGTCCTATTTACAAGTTCAGACTTAAATAAAATCCGTACACTCTTGTTATAATTTGCCTGATTTGATGCTCATACAGTCCTCGACAAACAATGTTTATGGAGTAACATAATAAGATCATAATTGGTAGGCCTTCTTAATGAAGGCTTTCTTCCAATTTTGTTAGTTATTGTGTAAGTAGACATTCCTTGTTATCTCTTATTCTCTACTTTTCTCCATAAGGTCTAAAGGTAACATTGCAGAGTTAGCTAGTTTAATCATCTTAATCACTCAAACTCTTCAACAATTTAGTTATATACCCACAATTAATCACCTCAGCACTGAGATTTTCAAAAATGTTTTAGGCATTACACGTAGAGCATACTCCAAAGAGTGTCTCAGTTGATCATGAGTGTGCCAATACCCCTTAGACATTCTATCAGAAAGGGAAAACATTCAAAGCTAATGCCTGACACTAACACAGTAAATGATCCTGCACCATGTCATCAATAGCCAATCTGTTCTAACTCTAAGATGGGATGGGAGTGTGTTACAATATGTGTGAGAGAGAAAGAAATGAATGATTATTCTAGTAAAATTTTCTACAGTAGAGAATATGTATTAATGGTTCATTTGCCTGAAGAGCGTGTAAGTCATCAGTCCTCTCAGCATCTAATACACGGCGTTGAAGCGTTCTCCAGCCCCAATGTTCAAACTTTTGAATATGTTTAACTGAACCATCATGAGTGCACTCTGCATCTACAAGGACCTGCCTTCCAACAGATCATAAAATATTCAGGGTTGCTGAAAGCAAAGAATTATGCAAGATAAACTCAAAATGACGTATATGTTACCTTGTCATAGCCCTTGTTTGCAATCTCATCGTCAGATAAAGTCTTAAATAATTCTCCTTTAGTAAGACCAACAACGCCAGAACGATGTCCATAATAAATGAGTTCAGGAGGCTGAGAGCTAGACACCAATTGTGGAGAACCACTTTTGCCAGCTCTTTTCCTTTCTTTCCATGGTCTTCTAGATGTCCACTCCGTGAACACATCCACTCTTTCTTCCGATCCAGACTCACCTGTTTGATACTTGATAGAAAGAAAACATTTCAAAAACAAGCAACACTGAATAATAAATATAATATAAATTTAAATTCCCGGTATTGCATTCCAGGATGAACCATCTCTATAACAACTATACTTCAATTACATGATTCACAGTCAGAACGGGATCTGGTAGGAATAACTGAAAATGATGTTCCATCAGCAACAAAAAGCCGGCATTGATCACCAAGCATATATTTTTGCAGCATTGTCCTACAAGCGGCCAAACGATGCCTTGCAGCATCTACTCCTGTCACAGAGCCCGAATCATCAAGAAGGTCCAATATCATACAAAGTTTAGCACCTGAAAATAAAATTGTTACAAAGACAATTATGATCAATATTGAATCGTTTCTCTGGTAAACTGATCAATTACAGTCAATGTTGATTTTTTAACTAAAAATAAAATCCTGCAAAGGAAAAAGCACGTCAAAGCATCACTGAAACACAGTCATTCATTCATTTTCTTACCGAAATAAAGCAATCTTAATCTGAAAATCATGCATTTTTGCAACAGTACGGGAAGAGAATACTCCCTCTAGTCTCATATAAAAGAAATAAACTCATGCTAATTAAGAAAGATCGATAGCATCCTTCAATTGTATCAATCTCATTTAAAAACCAAACTTTTTTACCCGCATCAAACTTTCTTGGAACTTTGATATCAAAAACACAACAACAGAGTCATTGACACAACAAAACCTCCATTGAATGAAGGGTATTTTGATAATCGTAAAAACAGTTAACATTTGCTTATATTTGAGACTTATAAACATAAGCAAGTAAAGAAAGAAACATCTACCAGGAGCAGCACATAGGTCTAGGACATGATCTCCAGGTGACACTTCTAAAGCCATAACCGCAGCTCCAGAAGCAGCATCAATTCCATATATCTGACTCAGAGGAAATCCAACAACAGCCTCACAAACTTAGGTTCTCAAAAATTACATTTTGACATTAAAATTTACTTGACTGTTGTATGAAGAGCCAAATCAAGATTCCTTGATCAGTTACCTTTCCTTCTCGGTATGCCCTAGAGCCAGCAATTTGAACGTGCGGTGGAAGAGAGAAAAAGCCCGATAACCACTCTACTTTTTCGAGGTTGCACTTTACCTCTGCTTCAACCTCTTCAATACATGCTTCACAACCAGGTTTCAACCTTCGAAGGCGCGATATAAATAGGAAAAAAATGTGAAATTGAAAGGCAAAAATGAAGGAGGTGTAGAAAGGGTGGAATTGGAATTACCGAATGTATCTTGGGGTGGAATCGATTGCAGTGTAAAGGGAAGGATCGAGCCCATTGGCCTCCAGGAAGTAAAGGAAAGCCTCTGGCAATGGCGCCATTGCGGCGTTTTCTCCTTCCATCCCCAGCTCAATTCGGGTTCAACTTCATATTTTGGTGGGTTGTGCTAACAACCAATATTAAGAAAATCAAATTAAGGTTTGTTCTTTTATGTTCTGTTTCCAATGTTGTTAACTTAGATACAGTTATCGTTGTACCCTTTTATTTTATTTTTCTCAAAAATATTCTTTTAATTTTGTATTTGCTCTTCTTCTTTTTAAATTTCTTGTTTTAGTCACTTAAATTTTAAAAAAAAAAACATCAATTTTAAAGTTCTACAAAAACATAGTTTATATTTTCTATTTTAAAATATTTAATTTTAATGATTTGATGATGGCTTAAATTTACTTAAATTAAGTATATTATAATAAAATAATTAATTTAAATAGTTCATTTCCTTTTAATTGTCATTATATTAGTTCTAATTTGTAAAAAATATTTGATATGATATAAAAATATTGGATATGATAAACTCGCTCTGGAATCTCTAATCTGCAAAATTATATCCAAATATTTTCAAAAATCTACAACTCTAACATTATAAACGTAAAATAATTAGATTTAATGTTTAAACAATTTTAGTTGTTGTTAAATAATTTGAGTTCATAAAAATATTGCAAATTGCAAAATCTTCTTCACATTATCAAACACAATTTTAATGCTTTAATTTCTCATACTCGATAGGATGTTTTCAATATTTTAAGAATAAGTATTAAAGATAGGATGTTTTCAAGATTATAAGAATGAGTATTAAAGATGAGAGAAAAAGATACAAATATTTAAATCTAATTTATAATTATTTAAATTTACATTAACTTATTTTAATATATTTATCTTAAGTTTAAATTCATAAATTCCAATTCATATGATTGAATTTGAATTAAATATAAATATAAATTAAATAATGTTTTAGATTTTGAAAATTAATAAAATGAGTTTGTGATAATTTAAATTGTGAAAAGATAGATATAATAAGGTAAGATTGAATTGAGTAGGGTCGAGTCTTATGTAAGATTATGTTAGGTTAAATGTAAGACAAGTTGAATTATGTCATATTAAAGTTAAGTTAGGTTAGGTTAAATTCAAGTTAGATTAAGTTTAAATTGCTCTAACTTTGAGTTATATTGAATTTAAGTTTAATTAAATAAATTTAAGTCAAGTCAAGTTAGATTGAAGTAGAACTAATTTAAGTTAGTCAAGTTGGGTTTAAGTGGAGTTTGGTCAAGTCAAACCAAGGTCAGATTGAGTTTGGTCCAAGTTAGACTGAGTCAGGTCAAATTCACGTTCAAATCAAGCAACAAAATGAGAGTGTGTTGTTGTCTGACAAGTTGGACAACAGAGTTCACTTTGTATATCTCCATTTGTTGACTAATCTTTCATGTGTAATATAGGTAATTGTATATTTAATTGTTGTGTATATGTTGAAATCCAATAGGTTATTGCAGCTTAATGTTAATGTTGTAATTAATAATATTCATTTCACTAATATAAATATACTAAAAATATGTTAATAAATGTATTCATTGATGTATAAATAGAGTTGAGTGGAAGTGCTTGGTTTTGTTGATGTGTGTCACAAAGATGTTATGGGAGCAATAGTTTGGATCATATCCAAACTGTGAGTACCAATTATAAACATGTCTTCCATATCTAGTTATTTATTATATGTGTCATTAATGGATACAAATGCTTAATTATGGATGACAAACACAACTTTAATTTATTTTTTAGTTATCAAATGATACTATGATGACAAGGTAAAATTGTAATGTAGTATATTTCAAGATGTATCTTGCCTACTAAATAAACTTGTCAAAGTTACAAAAAAGTTGACATATAGAATAAAATTGACAAGAATTTACTAACAAAACATATAATATGTATGCGGTATGAAACAACAAACATGAACAATTGACAAATACAATGTCCATTGTTTTATATATATAAATACATGGAATTATACATGACCAATTATATTAATTTATTAATTTTGTCGGTGTAAGATTTATGAATTATTTGATCAAACATTTACTGTTAAGTCAAAAGCCACGACTAAAAGTTGAAATATAACTCTTTCTATTTAAATATTGTAGCAATCAAAACCTCAATTAGATGGTAAACTAATCTATCCAACCTCAACCATGAAACAACCCTTAACCAAATCATCATGCACATCTCAAATTTAGTAAATTAGTAGTAATGTATTAACTTTGTCAAAAAGATGCTATCATAGCATTCTTTTGTATCAATAGTTGAATATTTCTTACTTTCACATGTATTATAGACTAATCATTTGCATCAAGTTCAAATGAGTTTATGTCAAATTTGTTTCTCATAAATCTTTAAACTCTAGTTTTAGCTTATGCATATTCGAAAACTCTATATAACATGAAATTGACAGTTTATCAAGTGCATTTGAACATTATATTACTTATTATCATAAAATATCTCTTATAAAACGAGTAACCATATTATAAAGAGTTAGTATCTAATTAAAAAATGTGGATCCATCAAGTCTTAAGCCATAACTCACACCTATATATAAGATTTTCATCAAACAATAAATTTGTGACACTTTTTTCGTCTTCTTATATTATGCTTTTCTTACTAATCTCGACTCATTATAAAAATTTTAGTTTAACACGTGAATTTTTCACCATTTGTGTTTTGTATTATGCAAATTCTTAATTTTCATTCGAGTTATTTATTTTATTATATTAAATTTAACGTTTTACGATAAAAATTGTACGTAAACATAAATTTCAAAATATACAAATACTCTATATAAAAAATAAACTAAATTTTCAAGCCAAATTTCAAAATCAATAGCCAATTTTTCGGCAGGTACCAATTACAAAGTTTAGAATTCAGTATAGTGAATCTTAAACGGTGACTTGAAGAAAACAACTGTAGTTAATTAATTTTTTAAAAATTAATTACATCCGGAAAAAAAATCTCAATTTGTTTGAGTTATTGTAAATTTTGTGATGCAGTGTTGTAAATATTTTTGAATCGTGTTTGAACTCTATATATAAAAAATCGAGTTAAATAATTTATCTTGAAAGAGATGGGAAGCATGGTAAAATGGAATCCGACACATCCTGCTACTAATCTGACGCGACACGCAATTCAAAAACCTTTGTGTTTTATAAGAAATGATAATTTAATACACACAAATTTTCTTATATTTAATTAATATATTTTTTTCATTATTTATTTATATATTCAATTCAATCTCTTTCATTCAAACCTATCCATTCACTGCTATGGCGAACTTTACATTACCAAACACAACATAACGACCACAAATCTTGTTCCTCTTTTTTCACTTTTCTTCCTCACCCTATAAAGATCACTTCTTTGAACAACCACACACTACCAATTAAACAACACCCACTTCCCCTCATGGGTTCTATTGGAATCAAAAGGTTTGTTTCAGAATCATCACTCTCTTCAACATTTGCCTTAACTATACTTTCCTATAGTTTCAGACTCACTGAACCACTGTATCATCATTGTTAATGATTTTTTATTATTATGAACAAACTATGTGTGGTTGTCTTTGTTCCCCTGTGGATTACAATATCTGTCTCTTTTTGTTTTGGCCTTCTGAAGCTCGGGATCCGAGGTTGTCACCATTGATGTTCATGCAGCCAAGGGTTTGATCCAGACCGGTCATGTTTATCTCGATGTCAGGTAACAAAAAGTTCTGATTTTTCTTTTCTTTCTGTCTGTTGATTGAAAATCAAACACTGAAATTATTCTCTGGGTTTCTGCATAATCGTGTTTATCTTTTGGGAAGAGACTGAATCTTATGGTAATTAATAGGACGGTGGAAGAGTTTCAGAAAGGTCATGTGGATGCTGAGAAGATAATTAACATTCCGTACATGTTTAATACACCAGAAGGTAAAACATTTGTGATATCAATGTTCTTTGTTTAGTGAAATTGCAAATTAATTCTATGATTAGAATGTGAAATCTTGTGATTTATTTTGGAGAGAAGGTAGGGTGAAGAATCCGGAGTTTCTGAAGGAGGTTTTATCAGCGTGCAAGAAAGAAGATCGCATCATCGTGGTAACTTTCTTTTTCAATGCTTAATAGAAAAATTCAGTTTATTGTCCTTTTCATGCTTCAACTTGTTTTCTGTCTACGTTTACTACCATATTTAAATTTGATTGGTCAAAGATTTTTAACTTAGTTTCGTTTATCACTTTTAATCTCTCATATACGTACTTTTTTTTTAGTAAACTATATTTAATTTATTAATAACTAGTTTTAATAAGCAAGAAATTAAAAATGCAGTTCATGAAAAAGGTTTTTTGAATGAGTATTTAATAACATGACAAATTACTATTATGTGTTAACGGCACGATACTTTCACTAAATTAGTTAAACGCATGCAATGTTTTATATGAAAAAAATACTTTTAGAATATGATTTTATTTTATTTCATTTTAAATGATTTTTATCATATTATATTACTTTAAATAATTCTTAAAATTTTATTTCAACGATATAAAAATTGACTTTGTCACACTTAATATTTAAATAATTTTTCTTTTTGGAAATTGATATTCTAAAAATATGGTGCTAAATATAGTTTTTTATATATATATATATATTATAAGACTTTGATGTATCACATCAACATTACTGAATAAGTTTATTAAGTGATATTAATCTTAAATTTAAGACTTTATTTTAATATTTTATATTAGAGATACTCTAACAACAAAGGTAAAATAATATTAAAAAAATGTTTAGAGACTTTGATTAATCTATAAATAAAAAACTAAAAACATTTACTCACTTTAGGAGTATTTCAGTAAGTAGACTAGACATTGAAGTTTAAGATGAAATTAAGGGAGATATGATGAATTATACATTCTTGTGGATGAGAATTACGAAACTTGACATTGTCGTTAACTTTAGTTAGTTAAATAAAGGCCATTGTTCAGAAGTATAGGAGCACAAATATTCCTTAGCATGATAAAAAGAAACTTGTGAAAAAGTGGATAAGAGAGATTGAATGCTCGATTTTTTCACACAAATATTATATTATTAATTTCTTTTTATCAAAACAGTACATGTAACTTTTATT